AGACCGCCCCTGACTTCGCAAAAGCGCTTGCTTGCATCGCACTCGGCAAGGCAAGCACGACTTCTAGCTTCGCTGCTGTAAACACGATAGAGAGACCGAGGCCTGACGGCGGAACCAGAAGCGAGAAGCACCGAGCCGAGCCGACAGAAAGAAAGAGAGGGAAAGAGAGAGAGAGAGAGAGCAGAGTCGGTTCTCTCTTCTCCGTTCTCCTTCGCGCCACTTGTGCACTTCTTCTACGGTGTGCTCTCGAGCCGACGGGGGTTAATGCACTCCTAGAGCAAGCCATAACCTTAGTCGGGGCCCTGGAGAAGCGCGGGAATCTTGGCGGAGTCGGACGCACTAGGCGCGCTAGAACCACCGAGCGCGCCCGATGTTTACAGAATCGTCGCTACGATCGTTAATCGCGCAACACGAAGATTTTGTCTAAGGTAACGCGAAAAATCCTATGGATCGTGGCTGATCTTTGCTGGGCTACACGCAGACGGCAGACATTTCGATTCGTTGGAATTTTTAACGTTCGTCGATTGCTCCGAACTTTAAAACTTTACGATTCGTATTCCGATCGAATCGTATTCCAATATGCACGCGCTATGTACATAGCGTTGTGATTTCGACCTGTTACCGCGGTGATTAGAGTCGTTTAAAGATGTTCGTGCGACGATTCCTCGACAGAAATTGCATCGGTTAGCAGCAGCGAGATACGCTGCAGAAAAATGCGCGAACGGTCATCGAGATTCGTGGACGCGAAACCTTGGAACTCATTGTCTACGAGCGATAATTGGATGTACTTGACTACAGTTTCGTATATGTGTGCACACGCTACACGCTCGCCTAGAGAGAATAGTTTATCTCTCGCCTGTATCAATCTGTCTCGCTCGTTCGCGCTAGACGATAGACTATAGAGGTATACAACGGTCCAGGGCCGACAAGCGACCGCCTTGGAGGCGTAATGACGATCGTAGAAACTCTCGAGGCCGGTCCACGAGGGCCGATGGTTTTATGAATGCGCGAACGTGATAGAAGACTGGAAGAAAAACAGACACACGTCGATACCGTGCAGGTATCGGGTTTTATACTACCACTGTTCTACGATTCGATTAATCGATCCGGCGATTCGTTCGATAAATTCATCCAGAATATTTCCTATAAACGATAAACTCGATCGAGATTCGCCGTTTATTCACCGCATTATTCCGTATACGATGGGATATATTCGATATCGGAAAATGTTGATTTAATTTGAGCGTGAAACTTTCGGAATCGAAGCAATTTAACGCGTTCGCGTTTCGTTTGCACGCAGTTTGAAACGGGCGGAATCGTCGCGGATTAATTTTATTTCGATCGAGTTACTTGGAGATTTCGTAACGCGTCGGTTCGCGTCGACGATCATCGTTTCCAAAATATTTACTGAAAAAACAACGATGTCGATACTCGAGCGTTTTAACTGATATTGCAAAACGATTTGCAGTCTATAAACAAAGCGAGGTCGCGTGGCAAAATGAAACGAAACGGGAGACCTCGCGGAAAATTCCAGATCGCACTCTGTCCTCGAATTTAAACGATAATGAGCGGGGGAACGGGAGATTACCGCGTTCTATGAACCAGCAGCTAGTTTCATTCTTAAACGAACCGTCGATCTTTATCTACGCGCGACTCTACTACGCCACGAGATTGCCTGCCAATCTACCTTTTATCGAAGACGAAGCATGGTCGTTCCGCGACAGATACGTCTATGCGTCCAATTTCAAATCTGATTTATTCTCTACTTTACTCCTCGCCACTCTATATCGCGACGTTTACCAGGTTTATCTCTTTATTTATGGTTATTTATTCGTTGAAATTAACTAGCAAAACTGCTACACGATAAAGCTGCTTTCCAATCTGTGGCCCCTTTATCGAAGACGAATTTCCACGATGAAACGTATCTTCAAAAATCGACGTACGCTCGCGTATCAAATTCCGATCTATATTCTACTTTGCTTCTCCGCTGCAAATTGCTATGTTTATCTATTGCACTAAATTAGATCGAATATCGTTGTACAAGCATCGACGAATTTCGTGGGTTAGGATGACGCAAATGACGGAAAAGATCCGACGCGTGAAATTTCACGGACGGGAATTCGGCAAATTCTTCGACACCGGAGTGCCAGAGCGATCTTGTACGAACGTCTGCCATCGCTGTGACGACCAGTGGAAACTCGAGTCAAAGACAACGAATGCCCGCCATCGATTCGAATCGAGATCTTCGACTGTGATGTTTCCCGCGCTGATTGGGAACCGCGTGGGCTCGTAGCCATCCACACGCCTGCAGGAGGCGCACACGTGTCCGATCCGCGGGCAAAGTGTTGAAAATAACCTCTTCAGCGTCCCTGACGAGGTGGGAATGTTGAGTTTGCCGCGAATACTATTCTGTTAGCTCGTGATTTGCACTTCCTAGTCGAAGCTCGTACGCACCAATACATCGGCCACGCGCATTCTCTACGCGGTATGCACATGTACGCGATACATGGAAGGATGAGAGTGTGCACGAGAGGCCGAGGAACGTGTCAGAGTGTTGGTGAGCGTCGGACGAGAACGTTTGACGGTGTCGGTGTAAAACTAACAATAATAATAAGGTTGAGTCATGTGGGGCCTTCGAGAGCAAAGAAGGGCCTTGATTTGTGCCCCGGGCAAGGCGAAGCTCTCTGTCTCTCCATCGACCGATCGTTTCTCTCCTTCCTTGATTCGACGTGCTTTTTTGGAGCTCCTTGCCTGCTCTCGGGGATTTCTACGTTACATAGAAACCGATTCGAGGGCAAGCTGGTCGTAAAAATCTGTGTTTCGATCGATTCGATCGAATCGCGCTTAAAGAGACCTCGCGTTTCACCGAATAATCTTACCTTCTCGAACTTCTCGTCATTCGTTTTCAAATATACAAATCCGAGCGAATCGTTTAGTTCGAGCAAAGAACAGTGTGTATCCGATCCAGGTCGCCTAGTTAATAACGCGTACGTTTCACGATGACCGGTAAAGATATTTGCATTTACGCTTATTTTCCCAACGAAACGTTTCATTTTCATAGTATCTGTAGTGGTATCTGCAGTCGAAATATGCTATGCAAATTACCTTTTGTAGCCATGGTAATTCTCGGAGCGAACACCTCGTGACAAATGGATCTCGATCGTGCTCTGTCATAG